ATTGAGATTTTAATAGTTTAAAATTTATAATTATTATTAATATTTTTATGAGATTTTTAATTATCATTTTTTCAAAAAAAAATTTTGAAACATGGATAACAAACAAGAAGGGTGAGTGGTGGGTATAGTATGTTGAATAGTCTCTGATCCATTTGGACAACGAGCTCTCTGGTTATTCAGACCCTAGTTTAGTCGCCTACTCGTTTACTTTATACCTTAGAGGACTTATTTTTGGTTCTGTTTTAATGAGAAACAGTCTTGAAGGCTACGCGGGGCGTTGCAAACACGGTATACTTTGTTAGTTACTTTCTTTGTCTTACTCTTACTAGTCTTTTTTATAAACTATTTTTAACTAATTCATTAAAATTAATGTAAGATAGTTAGAATAATAAAATTATTTTAAAAATAAATTACTTCCAATTTTATCCCTACGTTTGCAAAAGAATGATTTGACATGGAGAACGAATTTTCTTGAAAATATAAATATTACACTTCTTTTTAAAATTTGTTGGAGGATACTTTTAAAATTAAGAAAAAATATAATTTTGAATCCCTGTATTTTACTCGAGAGTACAAGAATTAATAGCAAAACGGGAGTAAAGTGTAGGGACTTAAAATTATATTTTTCCTAAAATTAATATCAAAAGTTACAAAAACTAAGAGAAAGTGATTTATATAAAGGATAATTTTTTTTTAAAAAAATGCAACTTATAAAAAGGACTGAAGGAGTATTATTAAATCATTTTTAACATTCATTTTTTAAATTAAGGAAATTTTTAAAACTTATCCCATCTAAAAATTTAATAAGCTTCCACACTTTAATTTGCATTTATTGAATATATATAGCATTTTAAAAATACAATTTCTTTTTTTAATAAATTAATGACATTCTTTATAAATAAGATAAAAAATATTTGTTCTCTATCTTATACAAATAAGATAAGATAAGAGAGTACAGAAAACTCAATGCAGGAAAGGGTGCCCACAAAGAAGAGGAAGAGGAGGAGGAGTACGGAAGTGTGGACAATCCACTTTTTTATTTGATAAACTAGGTTTCAATGAGTTCAATTTCTAAGCTTAATTCATTTAAACTTATTCAAGGCTGGTTTTGAGTGATTTTAGATATCTTATATAAATTTTTTAATAATAAAAATTAAAATTTTTATGTATTATTTTTTTAAAAAAATGTAATAAATGAAGTAGGGATATAATTAAAAATTAATTTTTTTAAATATATTGTACCTTACATTTTAAATCAAATAAAATTTTTAGAAAATGTCTTATGTTGTGATTTAGATGAAATATTTTTTAGTATTAATTTTATATTTATCACTCATTTTTCAGCATGGTCCTATAACCACCTTATTATAAAACCCTTATAATCTTTTATTTTTATTTATAATAATTTAAAATTACTATATATAAAATAAAAAAGGAGGTCGGATGACTGTAATTACTATAGAAAGGAAGATTAAATAAAATACTCCCTCCGGTCCCACCACAGAAAGAATATGAGAAAGGAGCAGATTGAATCCTCGTCTTCTTGTGCTTTCAAATGCAAGCCACTAAAATGTTCCAAAAGGGTGAGGGCGTGTTTGTTTTTGGATTTGAATTATATTGATAAAAATTAATTATAAAAAAATTGATTGACAAAACCTGTTCCATTAATATTTTCTGAAATTAATTTTGATAATAGAAGATGTTAGAATAATTTTTTAAAATCAATTACAAAAATGAGGGTAGGAGAAATGGAAAATGCTTAGATATTAGGAATTGATTATCAAATAGAGAAAAAAAAAAAAGCTTTCCCAAATGAAGTTTGGAAAAATTGTGACTGTTTGGATAAGATTTTTCTAAAAAATTTGAAACCAAAATCAATTCCGGACGTATATCCAAACAAGTCTGAGAGAGAAAGTTGAGACCAAGTCCAAGTCCCCGTCAACGGTTGAACTGTTCTTAACTGTGAGTCTATTTAAACTCACTTTTCTCCGTTAATGAAAACAGTGCCAATCGTTAAAGCAACCAGTAAGTTCTTCTCTCTCTCTTTCCCCCTTCCTTTAAACTTGAAAGCATGAAGAGCACACCACTGTGGATTCTCGCTTTGTATGTGACTGTTCTATTCCTCCTTGCTGGCCACTCTGTTCAGGTTGGCAATTCATCAGGTAATTACGTACGGTACTTGCCCGTTTTTTCTACTATAATTATTATTATAAATAATAAATAATGAAACTTTTAGTTTTTCAATTTTATTCCACTTATTATTTTAGTTTTTTTAAATTTAATTTTATCGATGATCCCTTTTATTTTCTTAAAATATAAATTAACCATTAAAATAGTTTAACATGTAATGTATATTGATAACTTCACATGTTTATGTAGCGAGAACAAATTGATCTTCAAATTATTTTAATTTTTGTCAATATAATCTTTTATACTATGTTTTTGTTCTCTTGTTTTTTACAATTTCAAATTATGTTTTTTCTATTTAAATAATTATACTTTTTTTTCATTAATTTATAAGGCTGCCATCAATATTTAATTATCTACATTAGCAAATTTTAATATTGTAACCTCCCTTTTAATAAGGACCAAATTGATAATGAAATAAACTTAAAGCATAAAATTTATAAAAATTAAACTTAAGGGTCTAAATCAATAACTGAAATAATTTGAGGGACTAAAAGCTATATTATTCCTTTATTTTAATTTAGAAGAGACTTTATTCGTTATTTAATTAGTTCCACTTTGTAGTGTTTTTTTAAAATCCTTATTCAACTACCCACGAAGGCACATTAGATAATCATCATCCACGTATATAATAAAACTTGTATCAAATCTCATCTTGTACAAGTTATAAATGGTGTTATTCATTTCTCAAAGCTATGTACAATACATAATATTTAGTAGGTATCAATGAGCCATGATATCTATATTTAGGGCTCAATCAAGTCTCAAATAAGATTCTTTTCAATAGAATAGGATCTTGTAAACAATAAAAGAGGGAACTATTTAGTGGGTATGAAGAGTCTTAAACCTTTATTATCCCTATAAATGTAATAGACTCCTTAACATACATGTAAGAGCCCCGCACCCAAAAAAAAAAAAAAAAAATATACAGAAGAATTTTCATCATGTAAACAAATGAATGAGAATGGATGTTTTGTGTAACAGACCAAACAGAGCATACATACAGACTCACAGCGTTTCATTTTTTATGATTAAAGGAAACGTAATATTATATCATTCTATGGAAGAAATTTCTCAATCAAAAATTATTTTTATTATATTTTATTTATCAAACAAATTAGGACTAATCAAAAACAAAAGATAGGGCCATTTAGAGGAACACATAAATGCATATTACGTAATTTGGTGGGTATTTTAATTTTTTGATATAATAATTAACATTATTTTACAAGAATATAAATTTTCTTAAGATAACTTCTAATTTTTAATAATAATCCAAAATTCTAAGTTATTTCGAATTAATTAATTTCATCCACATATGTAATCGCTTTTTTAATTACATGAATTTAATGGTCTTAATAGGGATAATGTAACTTTTAGTCCCTCAAATTTATCTCAACTATCAATTTGATTTCTCAAATTTAATTTCTATCAATTTAGTCCCTTAAGTTTATATTGATTATCAATTTGGTCCTTATTATTAAGAAGTTATACTGTTAAAATTTGCTAACTTGGATCATATAATATTGATAGTAGTCAAATAGATTAATGAAAGGGATCATAATTATTTAGGTAGGAAAAATCATACTCTAAAATTTTAAAAAATAAAATAACAAAACACAGTGTAAAGGATTATATTAATAACTCATATGAGGGTTAATTTGTTCTCATTTAATTATATATATATATATATATATGTCAAATCATCAATATACTTTACGTATAGGATTATTTTAAGAGATAATTTATGTTTTAAAATTTAGAAGACTCATGTGATAATTTAAGAAAATATAAGGGATCAAATTGATAAAAATTAAAATTAAAAGACTAAATTGATAATTGAGACAAACTTGAAGAATCAAAAGTTTCATTATCCCATCTTAATATTGTTAAAATTTTTAATTTTATATTATTTTTGAACAAGGATTTTTTTAAATCTTTTTATGAAGTAATATTTTCTTGATAAAAAATATGAGTATTTAAAATTATATGCTTAATAAACTATTTTGTTACATTTTAACTATTTTTCTTTTTTCTTCCTTCATATCCGTTTTATTAATTATACAAGTTAAATTCTTTTGTAATATAATTTTAAATACGATGTAATTTCTTTGCAAGCTGTATATTGTTTATATCGAAGTAATCATTTTAAAAAATTGCGTCTAACATAATTTATATTTCAATTTTTTATTACAGATCTCAATTCTAATTACTAGCTAGCGATATTTCATGCTATATATATAAAGTAAATATCCTAAAATTGATATCGGTGAATTTTTGAGAATTTTTTTAGTATTTTCTCTTATTTTATTAATTTTATAAAATATAAAATTTCCTTTATCGGTAGTTTTTTTATTTTTAAAGAAAGATAAACTTATTGAAATTCACGATTTTCAACTTTAAATCATCCATTTGCACACACACACACACACTCTCTTCGCTGATTCTTTTCCAATTTAACAGAGGGGATAAGCATTGATTGTGGAGTAACCCAAGCAAGTTGGGACGAGAATTGATGGAAATGTGGTAGAATCAGGCGAAGTGCATAATGTATCTTCTGAATACATGCTTCATGATAAACAAGAACAGGCATGGAAGCAGTTAAACACCTTGAGAAGCTTTCCAGAAGGGAAAAGAAATTGTTATACTCTGAAACCCATACAAGGCAAAGGCAACAACTATCTCGTTAGAGCTTACTACATGTATGGAAATTATGACCTCAACAATTCAGTCCCTTCCTTCCAATTCCAGCTCAGCGTCAATTTCTGGACTGACACTGATCTCGACAGTACCGAGATTGGTTTCATTGACGAATGGAAATCGTTCATGTTTCTCCAACTGACAACATTGATGTCTGTCTCATCAACGCTGGCGACGGAGCTCCTTTCATTTCGTTGTTGGAAGTTTGGCCTCTTGCCAATTCTATATATCGAACCACTTCCAATTCATTGCCCCTAGATCTCATGGCCCGCTTTAATCTGGGAATGTCTGAAGAAGATTCTAGTTTCATCAGGTAACTATTTCCAGCCACTTCGTTAATTACTTTTTATTCTTTCAACCTCGATAAATTTTATCCTATAAATATGTATGTTTTGCCATTTGCTATTAATAACCAGTATATAATAAAGGAAAAATAATAATAAAAGTCCTTTAGCTTTTATAAATGATAATGTGGTTTTTCGAAATGTCACAATTTCAATGAAGTCTTAAAGAATCTCTTTGTCAATAGTTTTTTTAGTGAAAAAGATTTACCTTTGTTAAAAATAACAAACCTTATTCATGACTTTGCTTTGTAAATCGCAAGAATTAAACAAAAAATTATAATTTGTCAATTGTAATTTCTGTTAGAAAACAAACCGCAATAACAACTTTAGTTTGCTCAAAGAATAATAATTTTTGTTTTGTGAATCATAAGAATTAAATAAGAAATTACAATTTGTTAAGTTTAACTTCTATTATTGAAAAATATGTTCTCAAGATAATAAACCCCATTCACAACTTTTGTTTAAAGAATAACAACTTTTTTTTAAAAGAATCGCAAGAATTGAATAAGAAATTACAAATTATCAATAAGGGTAAAATTATTTTTTTAATTTAAATTTTATTGACAAGAAGGTCCCAAAGGACTTTATTGAAATTATGACATTTCAAGAAATTAAATTTTTATTTATATAATTGGAAGGGATTTTATTATCATTTTCCCTATAATAAAAGAGAAGGAGGTCTTGATGGACTCACGCTTTAAGAGAAATATTGTTATATTGTGTAAATATGAGTGGAAGTCTGATGTTAGATAAAGTTTATTCCCTCTAATTCAAAATATAAGCATTTTCTTTTAATTAATCTTGGTTCAAATTATAACCAAACTAGCACATGTAAATTTTTTTTCCTCATATTCCTTCTTGTATTTATTAATCTAGATATTTGTGTAAATGTATCTTTCACTTATCATGGAGTGTATTAGTAATTGAGATCAGGGGTAAAAAAGGAAACAATATTTTTTTTTATAGGAATGAAGACTTTATTAGTATACAGATTTTTCCTAAAAACTGCTTATATTTTAAATTAGAAGGAGTACTTAATAATTAATATACAATACTCCCTCGATCCCTATATATAAAATCTTTTAGAATCTTTTTTGTCTTTAAATATAAGATATTGTCAATATATTTTTATAATAAATGAACTATCATACCTTTATTACATTGGAAAGGAAAAAAGAGTACTCATAAATTTACTTTGAAAAAAGAAATTATTTTTTATTTACAATAATTAGGTGTAAAACTGAAATGTTACTGTGCTTTTGAGTAGACAATAAACCTTTAATGGTTTGCGTGATTTTTATATATAAGGTAGGAGGGAGTAAATAGAAAGAATTACCAATATACTTTCATTGTTTGGTGTGACTTTTGCACTTGTGATGTCTTTAACGTAGAGTCTCATCCATTCATTTTGTCCCCTGTTCTCTGACAATAAAAAACGTTTCATAACATTTTAGGAGATATTAACGTCCTCTATTAAAAAATAATACGGGTACCCGGATGATATCTATGGCAGGTCTTGGCGCAATAGGCAGATTGAAAACTCCGAGACAATCAGTGCATTAGAAACGATTCACAGTGATGAAACAGACTACAAGCTGCCAAATGAAGTATTGGGCACTGCAATCCAATCACAGAAAGGCTACCCCTACCCTGTCTTATTTATCCACTTGAATTTCGATATAGATTATGAATATCACCTGTACCTTCATTTTTTTGACTTCGTGGGGCATCCCCAAAATCAGCTTAGAAAGATGTACATTGCTTTCGATGCAAACCTGCTGGCCGTAACTCTTAAATATCAGGAGCCCCAGACGATAAAGCAGATAATTCCAAAGGGGCTCGGCCTAAATAAAATTTCAATTGTAGGCTCCCCAGATTCTAGTTTGCCACCCATGATCAATGCTCTGGAGATCTTTAGGGTACTACTCCAACCAAATGCACCAACTCATGAAGGAGATGGCAAGTACATTTATTGTTTTCTTCTATTTCAATGTCGTTCTGATCTACTTTTCTTAAGTTGGTCTCTCTTTAGAGTTGTGCTCAAGTCAATTCACCAGGCACACTTCCTTTACTTGAATTTTTAGTATCAGGTGCTACCTAGCTGACGCCCGGCTCTTCGATTCTGATTTATTATGTTTATATTATAAAACTCTGAAACAATTACTTCTTCTGGAAATACCAGTCGATGCTATGCGGAGCATCAAGCATGCTTATAACATCACGAGAATCGACTGGCAAGGAGATCCATGCATGCCAAGAGATTATAGATGGGAAGGTCTGAATTGCAACTCTGACAACATTCCAAGGGTGACTTCGTTGTGAGTGGTCTTCCGTTCTTTTAAAATTTCTATCTATTTAAGTAGAACAAACAGAGTTTTTCTATGCTGTGACTTTCAATCTCTCTATTCATCTCTGCTTGAGCTAATTCTCACAGCCAAATCTCCATTCTTTTTTTTTAAAAAAAAAGCAGGAACTTGAGCTCATGCAACCTGATGGGAGAGATAAATTCTTCATTTTCCAAACTCATGGAGTTGGAGTCCTTGTAAGTAATATGTCATCTTACATTTTCTACTCTCATTCATTATCCAAGGCAATACATATAGAAGATTCACAATGTAGTCTGTGCATAAGGCATGAAAACTCTCATGTAATAATTCCATCTAATTAATTATATGTTCCATGTTGCAGGGATTTGTCCAACAACCCATTGACAGGAGAAATACCTCAATTTTTAGTAGAACTACCCAATTTGAAGCGAATGTGAGTTGCGGTGCTTTAGCTTATGAAAAATACTTTCTAGCTAGTTCCACAAATGTTGTGGGTTTCTCACGTGATGTATTATTAGCAGTAACTTGTCAGGGAACAATCTCACTGGTTCAATTCCCAAGGCTTTAAGGGAGAAAAACGGCACTACTTTGATATTAAGGTTTGCTCATATTCTGTGCTCTGCAGTTGCATTGTCTGCATAGAATGGCATTTCTTCTGTTTATACTGAGAATGTTCAGAAGAATTTTCCCTATTCACTTCCTTCACTGATGATGAAGTTTAGGTTAAAACATATTTGTAGTCTTAATTCAGATTATTATTAATAGCATTAGTGCCAAATGCTAGTTACTAATGTGCATATCATATTTCAATCATACAACTGACTGTTGTATTTTTTCCTAGTTTGGATGGAAATCCAGGTCTCTGTCAAATAGGTGTTTGCAGAACCAAAACACAGAAGTCCATTATACCAATTATTGCATCCGTGGCAGCTTCTGTAGCAGTTCTTGTAATACTAGCCTGTATTTCTGTGATGTTCTGCAAGCATAAAATGAAAAAACAAAGTGACATGGAAGGTCACCCAGGTGAGCTTACTTACACTATCGCTTTTCTTTTGTATTCAGTTTTCCTTTCTGAATCATTGGAAGCTTATTATTTTATTTTTTTTAGCTTTGCAAATTTTGTGCTTTAATTTACTTTTCCTTTTCCTTTCCATCATTCCTGGATTGCTTAGCCTTGCCTCATTCATTTATATGCAAAGTCCTTGCTTAGTACCCTTAACTGGTTAACTATAATCAAGCAGAGAACTTTTAAAGTTGACAGATTATAAAGAACTAATTTGAGGACTGATTAATTTCAGAGATGCGTAAGAAGCATCATCAGGGACAGAATATTTTTTCTGCAGAACTCATCTTTGCATGAATTTATTTTTTGAAGTTTCTTCACCTGTGCATTTCCCCAGTAAATTGTAATTCAAGTTCCCCTAATATTTTAATTTATATATATATATATTATTTCTAAAATCACTCAAATTCAATTATGCACATATGATGCTATTTTGAATTTTGTCCCCATTATTGCAGTGAACTTTTCTCCATTCAAGAAGGACGGGGAACTGAAATCGAAAAATCTTGCATTTAATCACTTTGAAGTTCTTAGTATTACCAATCACTTTGAAACCGTAATTGGAGAAGGGGGATTTGGAAAAGTGTATCTTGGCACCCTTCAGGATGATACGCAAGTTGCAATCAAGTTACTGTCGAAGTCATCACAACAAGGGTTTAAGGAATTCCAGTCCGAGGTTAGAAGCAAAAATCATTAATTATTGATGAAGGATTTGATCAATGTTTCCTTTATAGTGAACTTCAACATTAATTTGTTTAGTGATGATAAAGCTGAAATTCAAAATGCAGGTGGAACTTTTGATGGTTGTTCATCATAGGAACTTGGTTTCTCTTGTTGGCTATTGTAACGATGGTGACATGAAAGCACTAGTTTATGAATACATGCCTGAAGGAAATCTCCGACAGAAATTATCAGGTTTGTCAAGTCTTATGTTCAAAATCTTGTTACAGCACTCATATCAATCTCAATATCCTTATTCTTCTAGCTAATTACAAATCTCGTTAAAAGCTGTTTTAGGATTTGCCTTGACATTACCCTAAGAAACATCCAGGCAATGAATTTATGCACAACCTAAATACTCTTTCTCTATGCACAACCGAAATATTTTGCAGATAAGAACCCACGTGTTTTGAAATGGAATGAGAGACTTCAAATAGCATGGGATACAGCATGTGGTGTGTGAAATCCTTTTCCCCCTCTTTGAAATTGTCAATCCATGTTCCTTTTTCTTTAGAAAGTATCTTGTTGCTCAATAAAAATGCAGGGTTGGACTATCTACATAATGGTTGTAAGCCAGCAATAATCCACAGAGACCTCAAAACTTCTAACATCTTGCTAAGCAAAAACATGCAAGCCAAGATTGCTGACTTTGGATTGTCCAGAGCTTTTCTCAACGACACTGATACTAAAGTCTCAACTTGTCCTGCTGGCACGCTTGGTTATCTTGATCCTGAGTACGTTTTCCCCCTGATTTTTAAACTTTTATTACCACCTCCGATGGCAACAATTGCATAAAAGAAATTTATTCCATTTACCTGAACATTAGAAAAGTAGAGTAGCCTGTGAATACCATTTTAAACACATCTAGCATTACATATACATAGGTGCAACTCGAAATAATCCAATACTGATGATGTAGCAGTGATTGTGCCTAAAATATTATATTTGCTTAGCTTAATTTTCTCAATGGATAATTATTCAAGCAAAATTTACAAATTCCATAATGCTGAAAATCTAAACAAAATTTAGAGAAGTTTCTCCAATACTAAGCATCTATATTTCTTGACTTTCAGCAAAATGTAGTCTGATGATGTAGCAGTGATTGTGCCTAAAATATTATATTTGCTTAGCTTAATTTTCTCAACTGATAATTATTCAAGCAAAATTTACAAATTCCATAATGCTGAAAATCTAAACAAAATTTAGAGAAGTTTCTCCAATACTAAGCATCTATATTTCTTGACTTTCGGCAAAATGTAGTAGAATAGATTGAAAATGGCATCTTTGTCTTTTGAACACATGTACCATGACATTATTTTTTTGGGCCAAATCTAGGATCACATGAAAACAGAAATTTTTTAATGGATACTTAATCTTGAAAAATTTGCAGATTCCATAGCTCTGGAAACCTAAATAAGAAAAGTGATGTTTATAGTTTTGGGATAATTTTACTTGAGCTCATAACTGGTCGGCCAGCAATAATGGGAACACGCGGCAATACAAATCACATATCTAATTGGGTCCGTCCAAGGCTGGAGAGTGGGGATATCCAATCCATTGTGGATCCAAGATTAGAGGGAAAATTCAATGCTGCTTCAGCATGGAAATTTTTAGAGATAGGCATATCTTGCATTCCACCAATTTCAATTCAAAGGCCTGATATGGGTCATGTAGTGGCTGAGTTGAAGGAATGTCTAGCCTCGGAAATATCCCTTGAAAGTGCAGAGGGTAACAGTGGAATTTCTGGCTCTGCATCAAGGATCCGTTATTTTCCACTTGAATCAAACTCAGCTCCATGTGCCAGGTAGGAGTATTTGCAGAATCATCCTATCTAACTAGAAAGATTTGTTTTGTTTTGTCAAGTAATCCTATTTCTCGTCTATATTTATAATAAGCCTGTTTGTCCGACGTTAGTTTGGCTCATGCTATGAAGAAGTTTGCTACTGATATGTACTAAACTATTACCACTGTTTGCTGAAGTTCTGTTTTCGTTCCTTTTTTTCTTCTGTGAAAAACTCGAATGTCCAGAAGAGGAAAGAAGACCTCACATAATCATATGGCTTTGTAAAATGCTCTGATATCAACTTGTTCGCAATTTATATTTTCTTTCTCCATTATGAAGTTAGTGAATATTGAACTACATATCTACATAGTGGTAGTAATCCACCTCCAATTGACAGAGGCATGACAGCATCCAACATTTTACCAAATGAACATATACAGGCCAAGATTAATTATTGATTTCGGTGACGATGTTGAGCCTCAATATATGTAAGTGGGACTTCTAATTTAACAACGGATTTTAACTTAGAAGAAATAATATGCAATTCAGTCTTTTCACAAAAAAAAAAAAAAAACCAATTGCAAGAGAGATATTTGGACCTACAGTATTATTTCAAATTCTATTCGACTTTAAATGTAAATATGTTGGTTATAGGGACCTGCAGTGCAATTTTCCCCAAAAAAAAGGTAGTTCCATACTTTTTTATTAGAAAAATGATAATAAAATCATTTTGAATTATGTAAATGATATTTTAGTCTCTCGAAATATTATAATTTTCTTAAAGTCTTTAGAGACTCTTTAGTCATTAAGAACTTAATGTATATTATCAATTTTCTCTTGATTCAGGATTTCAAATGCGAATTTACAAATTGCTGTTGCATTCTTTCAATTTTAAAAAGAAAAGTTGTGAATCTTATAACAAAATTTATAAATGACAATTGATATTTACAACACTTGAGGATTATCAAGATTACAAAATGTGAACTTGCGAATTGCTATTCAATTCTTGTGATTTTAAGAAAAAAAGTTGTGAATGTTAGAATAAAACTTATGAATGATAATTGATATTTGCAACGTTTGAAAAATATTAAAATTTTAAATGTAAACTTATGAATTGCTATTGAATTTTTGTCCTTTTAAAAAAGTTGTGAATCTTAAAATAAAATTTGTGAATAACAATTGACATTTAAATTAAGAGCAATTGATCATTTTGTGACCTTTCAAGCAATTGGCCAAAATATTGATAGTTAACTTTAGGATCATTTATGATTTTTTGTGTATATTTCAAAAATATTTTTAACCCTTAACTTTTAAAATTATTTGATATTGATTTGAAATAATGTCACATCTCTAGTCCTCTATTGAACTTTCCCCAAATTTCTTAGATTGTAACATGGGCATTGCGCATTGGACAAACCATTAGAAAACTGTACATATTGAGAATGTGGGACTCGACAAATTAAAATTAGGAGAATCACATTCAAGTACCCTCAAAAAAATTATTCTCAAACAAAAACTAATACAAAATAAATTATTATTAAAATAAAAACATAGCTTAATTTTTTTTGAATAGGACTTATTGTTAATTTTATTTGTAAATAATTTTCTTGAGATATCCTTGAATATGACTCTCCCTAATTCTCCAGTTGACTCAGCATCTTAACCTATCATAAATCTTAAGAGATTGATGCAGCCCTTTGTGTGTTTCTGAGTATATGTTGAAAATTCTCTAACCAAAAATTGACAATGACATTGGCTGGAAATGAAAATAATAACAAAGTAAAGCAAAGAAATCATAATAACATCTAACAATCAAAACCGTTTATTATTGATTTACCCAAAAAAAAAACTATTTATTATTGAACTGGCTAGAACTTTTATTCATTTTTTAGTGGTGGATCATGGTCATAGTAAAACAATTCATGAATAAGTTAATATGTTTTATACAATTAAATCAAATAATCATCCATAATAATAATAATAATAATAATAATAATAATAATAATAATAATTTAAATTCAAAAAAACAGGCAAAAAGAAAATACCCATCAATACTCTACTATTTTGCCCAATATAATGCATACCTACATTTTTTTTATATTTGTCATTTTTCTTTATTTTTATATTTATTTGGTAATATATATATATATATATATATATAAAAATTGTAGTTTAGAAATATTGATTAAATTATTAAAAACTAAAAAATAAGAAAAAAATATGCGACTAGTTCAAATGCTAACCACCACTCTTTTGATTTTGATTGACTTAAGGTTGGTTCAACCGATTCTAAATACTTTCACTTTTTTATGATGTTTGGACCAAACATTAGATCGATTCCTGATTTAACTAGTCGAATCAACCAGCTTTGTTTGATTCTCAAAACAATGGTTACATGTATAGTTCATAGGCTCAACTTGTCATAGAATCATATATAGTTTGCATATATATCTGTTTATTTCGTATAACATTTTGAATATTATATTTAAAACCAGTGGCTCCATCTATACTTGAAAAATCTTTTGTTTATTTCTTATACAATCAAATTAAACATTCACATATGTAAACATGACAATGTTGGATTCTAATTTGAGAACTTTTTCAAACAACAGAGGTTGTTATGTCACTGAGACAACTTGCTGTTCACATACTTAAATAACCTTTGACCTAAATTAATTGATGAAAAAACCTCTTATTATTGAGATTTTATTTTATTTTTTTTTCCTTCTAAATACATCAGGGACAGGGAAGACGTACGGACAGATTTGGAAGCAGTAGTTAAACACTCTGAAAAACTTCCCAGATGGGAAAAGTAATTGCTATTCACTCAAACCCAAACAAGGCAGGAACAACAACTGTCTCATCAGAGCTTACTACAGGTATGGAAATTATGACAACAAAAGTTCTGTTCCGAACTTCTACTTCCATCTTGGAGTCAATTTCTGGACCCAAACTTGGCAAACTGAAAGAGTGGAGGTCATTTATGTTTCTTCGACCGACAACATTGATGTCTGTCTCATTAACACTCACCAAGGAATACCCTTCATTTCGTTGCAAGAACTTTGGCCTTTGAACAATTCTGCATATCGAACCAACGTCTTCCAATTCATTGCCACGAGACCTCAGGGCGCGCTCTAGTCTGGGAATCTCAGATGACTTTGGTTTCATCAGGTAACTATTTACTGGATAAGCCTGTATTAATGGTATTAAAATCCAATCCAAGCTGGTCGGTCAGCTAGTGAACCCGTAAACTAGTCTCCTGGCGAGTCTAGTAAAAAGTTTCTGGACAGACGGAAACCTTCTTCTATCGACTATTGACAAAAATGCCGTCGTCTAAGAAGCTAATTCTAGCTAGCTTCGATGAAAACCTATTCGAGATAGATGCGAAAGCCATGCTGAAATCACAAGTTCTGAAAGGCATGATCGAGGGAGGTTGTAGTGTTGATGATGTAATCCAAATATAGAATGTGAATGGCCAAACCATCGCCAAAATCATCAAGGATTCCCAGAAGCTCGCCATTATGGATTTGCGGCCGTCATTTGACGTCGATAGCAACATCGTCATTTTTATTATTTTTAGCCTGATATAATATTAAATGTTTTTAATGACCCAGTGTGTAAATTAAAGAGTTTGGATGCTTAGCCTTATTAATTAGGATGCTTTTTTAACCAGTAATTAGAGACTTATATTCACAAACCATTCAGGATTTGTTTAACCACTAATTAAAAATTTATTGGTTGCCCAAAAAATATTACGTAGATTTGTCTTAAATTTGTTAACTATAATTAAAAATGCACATGACAAACCTCTAGGGGCAGAACTAGACTAGTAAAGCTGGGGGGCCAATTTTATAATATATAACTATATATAGATCAAGTTATTTAATTGTTATTAATAATTTAAAATAATTTTACAATAGAATTGAAAAAATTATAAGATAACAATTCATTTATAAGAATTAAAAAAATAAAGAAAAAAGCTTTGCAAAGTGTACAAAAAACTCGCGCTATAAAATTTTAAAAAAATTAATATTATATTTATATTTTTATCTACTATTATTTATAAAGATACTCTTCTAGTTTTATCTATAAGTCATTTTTTAACATATTTTATTAGAACTAAAAAAATCTTAAAATTTATTAACTTTATTTAAAAATTTAATAAGTTTTAAATTTTGACTCTATTAAATGTATATACTTTAATAACATACTTTATCTCTCCAGTGTTTAATAGAAGATAAAAGAAAAAAATTGTGATAAAAATTTAATGCTTTAATTTATAAATAGGATTTAAAAAACACTCATTTCTTTACCTTGTAAGTAAAAAGGCTATACACAAGCAAGTGTAGAAACTAGAGAGTAAATAATGCAATGCATACTTGCATAGGGACTAAGGAATAAGAAATGTATAGTGAAAATATGGTAAAAGTGAAAGTTAAAAAATTTAGGGGTCAAAGAAGTAATTTTTTTCTTATAGAAAATCACCTCATAACTTGGTGAAAAAATTAAAAAAAAAAAAATCTGTGAAGCCGTAAACACTACCTAAGTCTGCCCTGCAAACTAAACTTCAAATATACATGATTGCCTCCAATAAAAGAATATTTATAAAAATTTAAAAAAAAAATGCAAATGACAGACTGTGTGTTAGTCAAAGAAATGTGGGATTAAATTGTCAAATTATTTTTATATATAAGAAAATGTTAATAAATGAGCATGTAAAAAGCTCTGATTTTTTGTTTGATTTGCTAGATACTTGTTTGTAGTTTTACTTTTAAATTTTGGGTTTCTAAAAGTAAAGATTCCCATATTGTATCGATTATTTTATTTCATCTTTCTATCAACCCATAGCTTTCATCTCTTAATCATTTTTACTTTTCTATCAATCCATGACCTATTTTAATTCATTTTATTCTTTATCAATTCATTTCATTTAATAATTCTTTTTTGTCAATTGAAAGGGCACTTATTTAATTTCAATTTTAATCCTAGTTGAGCTGCCTCCTCACTTGGTTGCTTTATGGAAACCCCAATCACTCATTGAAGCTCAGGGTCAACACACTCGTTAAAAATTGGGCAAGTGAAGAATTATCCATTGGCATGTGAGCATTTTCAAGCCGGCCTATATTCTTATTGTTGGGTACAATATAGAAATCTTAATGATGCAGAAAAAGTCTTTGATTAAATACCTGAAAGATGATGTTTTCTGGATTTCATTTTATTGGGATTTATCCCCCAGCAAATTAAGCCTTTAACGGTGGCAATGAATGAAATATCTGTGTGTAACAGTGTCGTGTAATAATGGAATTAGGCCAACTTCAGTTATTCTATCCACGAAATTCAATAAGCGTTTTTTCTTCTTTTAAATATGATGTAGTCGTGGGTGAATCGAATTTTGAGATACACACACACACACTATAGACTAAAAAATTATTAAATAATTTCGATATTGTTGAAAATTACAATACCATTATTAGGCTGTAAACAGCTCCTCCACCAATCATTTTTATAAGAGAGATTTTTAACAATTTTTATAAATAATTAAAGGCACGGAGGCAAAACAAATATTTAATGTTTCTATAAATACAGTATATAAAATATTTTATCAATAGACCAGAGAGAATAATTAAATACTAATAGTAATTATTTATTAGATTTTTTTTTAATTTCTCAAGGTATCCCTACAACCAACAACAACTGTGAGATTAATCCCTCAAAAAATTTAAAAGTCATTTAAGGGCTTATCTCTAACACCTCTTAGAATTAAACCGTAAAATGATGCCACGTCACACCCCTTTGGTATTAGAATTTTAAAACGATGCTCCCTCCTTTCAGTATTATAAAGACATTTTTTTCTGTAGTATAATGTTAAAAAATACTTCCTTTTATTCTTGATACAAGGCAAGGTTAACCAACTTCACACTTATTGAGAAATAGTAGTTATATTCTTAAAATATCTTAAAAACATATGACTTTTCAATTTTACCCTTCTTTGTAATTATTAATCCTAATAAATTGTTGTCTAGGAATTCAAACAATAATAAATAAACAAAGGGTAAAATTGAAAAAAAAAATAATTACTCTAATTTTGTCTTCTATTAATTGAAGATCAAAAAAAAATTCAAACTTTGTCTTATATATTAAAGACTGGGAGGAGTATATCAAAGGTGTAATTAATAAAAATTTTTAATTGATCCAGACTATTAAAAAAGGATAAATATGAATAAACAATTAATTCTAAATATTGTTAACTAAATTATCAAGGGTGGAAGTTAAAAGTATCTTATAATATTGAATGAGCAAGTAATTATTATCATTTTTTAATTAATACGAACTGTACAAAGTACATCTAAATAATCAATATGCATTGATTATAAAAATTTTTGTATTAAAATAAAAAATTTATTAAAATTATTTTATAATTTATATTAAAATTATTTTATAATTTTTAATAAACTGGACCATCCAAAATGGATGATTTATATGCTCATCCTTGGAATGAGCATGAAAACTGAACCCGCTGAACTGGTAGTACTATAAATATGTCCAATAACAACATTTTTATTTCCATCAAATCTCCGTAACAAACCTTCTTTCAGAAAAATACACACATTTTTTGTTAACAAAATGGCGAGTAACTCTTTGAAGCTTTCTTTGCTGACTCTTTTCATCTTTCTCATGATCTTTTCTCCGATGACGACCTTGCCGTGCGACGCAACAAGGGTGCCGCCGCCAGGAGGACCAGTTCCAACACAGCCGTTTCCACATCCTCCGAGTAAATCCTATTTTTCCCCACTTTTCTTCTTGATGACATTTTTATATCCCTATTAATTAGTAACAATATTTCATTAACTTTTAAGTTTATCAAATATTGAAATATATGTGTTTGAGGTTCTATATAATTATTTAAATTAATGTTGTTTTACAGAAATTCCAATTGCATGCCCTCGATGTTTGTGTTGTGCTCCTCCTCCAGCTCCAGGCAAATGCTGCCCTTGCTTTTGCCCTCATCCTGCCGAGCCTCCCAGTTACTGAATTCTCACAAAGACACGCATGATTATACATGTTTTATCTAATATATTTATATTGCTATATGGGTTCAGTTTATAAGAATAAGTATACCCATTGAATCATAAAATAACATGTATAATGTCAAGGTTTTATACATACAAATCTTGGCAGGATTTCATGCATGCTCGTTTATGGTTGGTGTGGTTTTGCTTATTTCTTATGGATTGAATTTTACTATTCAATGAGTGTGTCTCTCTATATGTATAACGGTAATAATCAGGTTTGTTTCTGTCATTTGTATTAAATAAAAGTGGGGAGTCTCACATTCTTCTCACTGCAATGTTAATTTGTTGCAAATGTTTGCAACTCAAGTTTCCTGTAACACAGTATGTGTTTTATATATGAGTACACTGAGTTGTCTCTAAAGCGTACATATTTATATATGGCAAGGCTAATTTATAGATGTGGATTGTGCATTCAAATTAAAATTCTATAAAACATCATGTTGTAATAATTAAGCTTTTGATCGATGTGCAGGTAAAAAAAAAAAAGATTTTCATGTGTGTATATACATAGGATGATGATACTACTAAATTATTTGGGACACAAATCGAAACTTACATGCTGATAGGCTCATATATATTTAAAAATTCAATTTAATCAGATTCACGTGTTTGTGATGACCGGTGTCAAATGCAATTTAAATATAATTATTATTTGATTATTTGACATTATTAAATCACATTATGAGCTAATTATACTTTCCTCCGCATTGTAAGTTGCACAGGCTCTTTCTAGATCTTACCTTTCAGCATAAATTTCTGAGTGTTTTTTATGATTTTATCCCTCGTAATAACAAGAGAGTTGAGGGAATGAGTGAGACAATTATATTCCCTCTAATCTTACTAATAGAGCATATATAAAAGATTATTTTAGTCCTATTTATTATCACAATATTAAATTATTATCACAAATTTCTTCTTTTATCCCATTAAATATTGGAAAAAATATATTATTAAAATATATATATTAATTAAATATAGGTGAATTGGAGAACTTATTATTAAATTTTTAGACAAAGTTAATAAAATTTAGGTTTTTATTGGTTTTAATAAAATATGTTGAAAATAAGTTATAAATAAAATTAGAGAAAAAATTAAATTAAGGCAAAATTATACAAAGCTCCCTTAAACTTTGAATCATAATGTACAAATAATTTTTATATATATAGAGTACTCCTTAAACTGAGAGTCAATTATCTACATTAATTTAAGATTTTAGGATGGTAATTCATTGTAAAATTCCAAAGGTTAGAGAGGTTTTCTATACTAAATGATATATATATATATATATATATATATTAATTTTAGGGGCTCTTGTATAATTCATTGTTAAGGGAATCAAAAAATATTTTCATGTAGATTATCAGCCACCCTACAAGTACGTACATTTAAATCGACCACAACGTCATTTTTTTTCTATGTAATTGAAATACTTTTAGGTAGTGTTTGAATTGGAAAATTTAGATTTGAATTTTATTAAATTTCAGTAAATCCTATTTGTTGCAGGAATTCCCATTCCAATATGCCCTCAATGTGTGTGTTGTGCTCCTCTAGCTCTAGGCAAAAGCTGCCTTTGCTCTTGCCCTCGCCCTCCTTATCATGCTGCTGAGCAATTATAAATTTTCACAAAATATATATTATAATTATGTTTTATCTAATATTATATATATATATATATAGATAATTATGTTAGATATGTTAATTTGTATAAGAATGAGAATGTCCGTTAAATCATAAAAGAACATGTATATATAATGTCAAGGTTATGTATAAATAATCTTGGCAGGATATTTCATGTTTGTTTATGGCTAATTAGTGTGGTTTTTCTTTTTCTTATGGATTGAATATATAATAATAATAATAATAATAACGACGACGACGACGACGACGACGACGACAATAATAATAAGCTTTTTCTGTCATCTGTGTTAAAAAAAAAACGGGGGAGTCCGACATCCTTCTCTCCGCAACGTTTGTAATTAGTTGTGATTATATTGCAACATAGTTTCATGTAATAGAGTGTAGTACCTATAGGTATCTTTTTTATTAGAAATGATCATATTTGGAATACAATTGACCACTCTTTATAGTGGGATTCGAACTTTAATTTATTATGTTGGAGGAATTTTAATTCATTGTGTTTTTGTTTGCCCACAGGGCAAGGCAATGCGTCCAGAAAATATAATGTTGATAAAATATCAGATATAATAAAATTGATTAGTGTTAAGAAAAATATTGCATTTGATTGTATATATATTTACAAGAGAAGCATAGCCATGCATGCATGATTACCAGTGACAAGTTAATTACAGTAATCATCTTTAAAATTACACACACACTTGAACATTATCAATTATTTTTACATGATATTAAGTCAAAAAAAGTAATTTGAATTTTTAAAGGAGGTTAAAAATATTTAAATCATAAAAAATATACATGATGATAAAAAATTAATATATTATATAACTTATAAAAGGAAAATAATAATATAAAATAACTAGTCTTCAAAAAAAAAAGAAAATATGTGTTTTATTATGAAGAAAAGCATTATTTTAATTCTTATCTTATATTCTGCTTCCATTAAAGTGAAAAAAAAATACGGAGAAATACTGTGAAGTCTTATCTAATCAATTCAATTGCCACTAAATCCAAAATCCTTGTGCAATTAGAAATATACCATAACATTATTTTTTTAATAAAAAAAATATCATTCATCCACCACCATTGCCAAAGTTCTCGTGGGAGCTCCAGTTAGCCTCTATCGGAGACCTCCCAATCACCACTGCAGGTTGCTAGAACATCCGCCGGCACATTCTCAAAAGTTAAACTCATATCTCTAGTTAAAATACAGGTTTAATCTTTACCTTTTTTTTTTGTTGCAAGAAAAGGAAAAAACAAAAAGCAAGCTAAGGATTGCTTCTACGAAGTCTCCAATTTCCAAAACCAAGGGCGTTATCTTGCAGTAGCCTGGCACAACTTGCTGCCTGTCCAGTGTTTCTACTCAATCTTAATTAATTACTTGATTACACTCAATCATAATTATCGTCACATATTATTATATCCACCCACCATGCTTTATATATAATCATAATTATATATGCTCTTGGTATGAGTGAGAGGGCATTGTATACAATGGTATATTTGTGTGTTTCAAATCACACAAGCTAGCTGTAAATTGTAATGCACGGTGGATTCTCCACACAATTAATTCATCTCTCAAAATTAAATAAATCATTACTCAATTGGAAGAGGTCTCGTTGCTCTCAATATTCTGAGGTACATATTCTCTAATATTGGCAGGGCCTATCGTTTATATTTATTTTAAAAATAAATAAAGCATTACTCTACCCTTTGAATAAATCCTCATTTCCTTTCTGTTCCTTTTTTATTTCTTTTTTAATCAATAATATTTCGGATGAAAAGGTCACCATAAGCGGTCACTATCGTATCCCGCCTGCTGTTGCTAAGTAAGGGTGTTCAAAACCGATCCAAACCGAACGGACCGATCCAAACCAACCCAAACCGAAAGGAACCGATCAAAATCGATCAACAATCAAGTCTACTTTGGTTTTTAGGATAAGGAAACCGAATGGTTTGGTTCAGGTTTCGGTTTTAAAAATTAAAAACCGAACCAGACCTGAACCAGACCTGATTAACAAAATATTATTTATTTATTTATAAAATATGTAACCTTAATTTCAATCCAAATAAACCCAAACCCCCTTATGCCTTACCCAGCCCATTACCCAATAAATAATTAGTAGCCCACTTCCCAAGCCCAAATGAGATCAGGAGAGACCATTAGGCTCAGTCAGACCAAACTTCACGAGTTCACGTCATGCTCACGCTCACGCCTCAGTCCTCACGGTCACGGATTCATCACGTCACAGAGTGGTTCAGCTTCAGTCTGGCCAGAGAGAGTCACGACTCACGAAGACACGAACGACTCACGACCTGCCTTCTCTTACGTGTGGCTCACACTTTAAGTTTAGGTTTCCTTAATGCTTGAGCCAGGCTTGCACAATACGCATCACACAGATAGACACACACAGACTGTAAAGAACCTCAGAACCAAGCCAAAGACGACGCAGAGCCAGAGATAGACAGAGTCAGTCTTGGATGACCGACGACGGACATGAACGCAAAGTCCAGTACCCAAGTCGCACACAAGCCACAGTCGTCGGCCACTCACAGCGTTGCACACAAGCCACAGCCGTCGCCCGTCGGTCACTCACAGCGTTGCAGACCAAAGAGTTCGTCACAGAACAAAGTTCACCGTCGGCTACTCAAGTTCGGTTTTCACTTTCTACAGTTCCACTTCCAAGTCGCGCATACTCACACCGGCCACAGCCGTCAGCCATTCGCGGCGTCCCAGAACAGAGTCTACTCGAGTTCAGCTTCTACGGTTCCACTTCCACTCTTCCAGGTTCGAGCCACAGTCTGAATCACTTTCTGCATTTTACTTCCCTATCTCAGTTGCCTGGACTCTGGAGCTTCGGTTGGTGTAATAATCTTATTTCCTAATCCTAGCCATTGCCTGATTGCCTTGCCACTATTCTTATTCTTATTTTGGTGTTTAGGTTGACTTAGATTTATAAGTTATATGATGCGTTTGTTGATCAAAGATTGTTGCCTAATTAGGTTGACTTGCTCTGCAATTGATAAAAGATTATTGCTTTGATTTTAAAACGATATAAGTAAGTGTGACTGTGGGGTAGATCGGTAGAGCAAAGAGACCAAGAGGGACCACTTGTTTTGTTTTGATATCATATCAATGATATGCACATGAATACAAATATACAATAGGTAATAGAGTAAACATAATTTTTAACTTTTTTAATAAAGAGGATAGCATATTGTCTTTTTAATAGAACAACTTAATTTAATTTACTTTATTAAATTATCTTTCCTTTCATAATATAATGCAGGATTATTTGTCTTTCTTGAGAGGCCACTTGCACAATGCATATCCTAGAGTTTCAATATGAGTGAAAATGAGGTAAATGTTTTATATAGTATTTTTTTTTACAAAAAGCATTTAGTATCATATTTGATTGATATAATTGCTTATGTTTTTTTTAGCAAGAAACATATATGGAGTTGATGGATGTTCATGATGATGATGAGCAACCTAAGAATAACAAGCCGGAATTGATTAACAATACTCATGTAACTATGGATTCAAATCAACAAAAAGAGAAAGAGAAAGAGCAAGAGAAAGAGCAAGAGCAAGAGAAAGACAAAGGTGAAAAGCAACCAGAAAATTCAAAAGTTACAGGTAAAAGAAAACCAACTAGACCTGAATCTTG